ATGGAAATCAACTTGTTTACTATTATGGATATTTTCTGATCGTCGCCATATGGAAGTTGGTGTCTGCCGTACAAGAGGACTGAAAGACTGCTAGAATAAGTTATTAGTCTTTTAGGACGGCAGTTGCCGTTGTAAATAGGAAGTACTACGATGCATCCGACTGGTTCCTTGGACGATTTTGGTTAAGCTTAATGCCTGCTTTAAGCACGAACATTGAACGAGCGAGCCTCGAGCATCTTTCTCGGTCGGAAGTGTACGTTAAGAAGCCGCTAAACAAGGTAACGAGCCGAGGTTTGATCGAACCGTCCGTGGAGACTCCGCATCTTCCTTTCGTACTGCTGCCTGGTGAATACGCTCAATGTCACAGCCGAATTTTAAACGACACGCTGATCGTGCTTACGAACTTTCGAATATTCGTCAGCTTCAAGGAAAATAATGCTTTCTACAACATTCCGATTTTGTGCGTGGATGGCGTGGAGTGCCGCGAAATGTTCTATCTGCACATCGCTTGTAAGGACGGAAGAATCGCAAAGTAAGAATTTTATTACGAAATCGTTTACGTTTGTTATGGCAGTTGTAGTCCATGTCTCGTTTTTATTTTGACAAAATTGTAACTTTTGTCTCGGCAGAGGTTGATCTGTAACATTGCCGTTGGCCGTCCGATGAGAGTTAGCAATGCCAGCTACATTTCAAGTTTATGTATCTTGTTGCATAATGTCTGGCATAACCACTTTCTATACAGCCATCCCTCTTTCTGCAGTGTGTTCTCATCGTCGAGTGATGCTTTCTTATGCTGCGGTTCGTTTGGAGCAGCCCAATTTGCGAAGTTTGTGTATACTGCTGCACTGAAAATGACACGCTTACGTTTTTTTTCACAATGGTCTATCGAGTAGAGTGCCACCTACCAACCGTTTTTTCTTTATCATTATTCCTTGTCTCATTATTCTCTGTTTTGTTTGTCCTTGTGCATTATATTTTTTATACCATTGGGTTACTCACCTATAAAATGTAAGTCGGTGTTGTTTCCTTACT